CCTTGTAGTCGTCGATCACGTCCTGAAATTATTTCAACGGTTCTCCACCGGTTTGCTTCTCTTCTTTTTTCCTTTCCGTCCCCGAGACACGACGGCTCGACGACCCTCTCGTGAAAATCGTTCATTTCGTAGCGGAACACCTCGACCAATCGTACGGAGAAACGGTATACACTTTTGATCCTCTGTATCGAATACATTTCGATCTGTCGTTATTGGTTATGTGCGATTGATCGATACTCTCGCTGACTCGAACCGTATTAATAATATACAAGCTATCGATGCAGCGGCACGGGTAGGGGGCGCGCGGGGCGAGTGAAAGGAAGGACCGCGCAGAACCATGCGCAATACCGTTTTTCTCCGTTACGTGGCGTGTTCTGCGAGGCTGATTCCCTCCGCGGAAGCTGTTCAACGTAATATATGCGCGTCGAAGTTTCGGAACAACGACGAAAGCCGCACACGCTCGCCGGCTCGATTTTCGTTACGAATCTCTCTCACTCCGCCGTGAACGATCCCTCGAAAAGCTGGTTGCTATAAATCACGCGACACGACGACGCGGCGCGAGAATAGGGGATACGTGCGCGACACGAAGGATAACCTCTTCGTCCCTGTTACGTTCTACCGGCGAATTACAATCACAATGAACGACTTACCTGTTTCTTCAGAATGATATGCTTCCCCTTCCAGTACTTCATCATACCGAGGGCCTGCAGGGTGCTGACGATGTCGTACGAGTCAATGGCCATCTCTTTGCTGATATCTGAAAGACAATATGCAAAACGGGGCGAACGGATAGCATCGAGCGGCTCGAATGTCTCGAGCGGCACACGCTCTCTCTTTCTCTGCAACGGCACACTCTTAAAATAACGCGTCTTGTAAATCGGTCAAAAGCGTGCAAGGCGTGTGCTCCGCGGCTGGCGGTATTGTGTTACCTTTAACGGAGAGTTCCTTGCCCCCGAAGTTGCAGAGGTACTGCAGCAAAACGTCCTTCCAGTAGCTGCGATACGAGATCAAACCCAAATCCGATAGGGGTTTTTCGGGCGAGCCAATCTTTTTCTCTACCCTGGTCAATAAGTAACCTGCGCAAAACACACATAACGTTCCGTCGTTTCGTTCATCTCGTTCGCCAGGAATTTCCTCCTCGCGTCTGATCGATGAGGTGTCGCGAGGGGAGGGGAAAGGGGTCAATAAACGGCAGGTGAAACGTTCCTCTATCGACCGTACGTGTCGTCAATCGATCGATCCGCCACCGACCCAGTACGAATTCGTTCGTCTCGCCGAATACGTACGTTCGATGCGCGAAGGATCCTAACCTAACCTCCTTATCGCGCAACGAATTCGTTTCGTACGTTCCGGGCCAAAGTAACGACTTCTCCTAGAAGCTCGTTATCATTTCCTCCGTAATATCCTCTCGTTACTCGGCCACTACATTACGCCCTTGTGCACGGACCACTAGACGGACTATGAAATTCCAATTCCGCGAGATACCGGTGGTCGTCGAAGCCGCATAGGTACAGAGAGACCATGTGCGCGCGCGCGTTCACGTGTGCACACACATAACACACGTCTCCATCCTGAATCGACGCCACCGCTATAAGCCATTTCTGGTGTCAGTGACCGACGAAGGATGAAATGCCGCGGCGCCAGTGCCGTATCGAAAATAATTCCAACTTCGCCTAGGATACGTTATTTCCTCCCAGGCAAATCCGACGAGTCGCCGCGTGGAGTACGGATCGGTAAAACCAGTTTGCACGGAAAAGGACGTGCCGCGGCGCGACCACGATGCCCAACCGACGATTAAACTTTCCTCGCGATAGCGTTTATCGGGGGAAGAAACTCCGGGGAACTACCCGCCGGGGTATACGGCACTGACGATGTCCGGCACTCGCTTCTGGAGTCTGGTTGAATGTCCGTCACGCCTCGTTTGCACGATGTATCCTGCGACCGTGTGTATCCGCGAAAAATCGGCAGAACGCGAAGAAATCGGAATGGACTAGGGGGGAGGGGTGGGGGAGGGTACACGTATTCGCAGAACGATCTCGAATCGATCTTTCGAATCTTCGTGAAATCTCACGCGATTACCCCCTCCAACCACTCTTGGCTTTTGCAATTAGACCATGTCCGTTGTCGGTACTTTCGGCGCTCGAGTCACGATGAATTACGAATATTCGCGATATTTCGAGAGGGGAGAGAGAGGGGGAGAGAGGGAGAGAGAGAGAGAGAGAGAGAGAGAGAAATAGAGAGGGAGATAGGAAAAGCGAGAGAGAGAGAGAGAGAGACTGAGAGAGTTAGACGGGATAGATAGGAGATTAGAGGATTCGCGATGCGAGCCGACGTTTAAGGTTTCACGTTGCTCACGTGTGAACTAATTAACTAATTAAATAAATTGCATCGGCGGCGACGCGGGGCTAGCCTAAAGAGATTTCTCCGTTTATGGGTCATCCGTTATATTTGTAAGAAGCAGACACGCGCGGCCTGTATTGATTCTGCATCGGCATGCCGTTACTCTCGAAAAGACACGCGAAAGCATCGATCCGAGAATATTCCAACTTGGTCGCGGCCATTTCGATGCCGTTCAGCAAACCCTCGTGCCAAAACGCTTATCCGTAAGTTCCCGATAGAGGTTAGGACGAACGACGAACAAGCATCACGTTCGCCGGTTGATCGATGATTTTTCGAAAAAATCCAAAGAAAAAGAGAAGACGCGGAACCGATAGCGGACGCGATGGTTTTCTCTCGCGTTCGCGATAACGACGATTCTTCCGTTTCTCAGGCACACCGATGTCGGTTTCCAGAACATCCGGAAACCGTAAAGTTCAACGACCAGCAGTGGCCAGGCGAAATCCTCGCGGAAGCAGCTCCAGCGAGCGGCAACGTTCCCGAAATAACCGCGGAATTCTCATTATCCGAATAATCGAGGTCGAGACGATAACAGTGTCTCGCGATTAAAAGGTGAAGGAAAAAGAAGGAGAAGAAGCAGACGCAGAAGTAGAGGAGGGAGGAGGGAGGGAGAGAAAGAGATCATACTGCCAGGTGTCGAGAGAGGAGCAGGGTAAAAGGGAGGCGAGACGATTTTTGCAGAGTATCCGAGGCAGCCTACGAGGACCGGTCCTGTGCCGGGATTATTCCAGGATGTCCCGGAGGCTGAGGGGTTCAACGACCATCCTTTTCCTCCTCCTCCAGGCTCCTGGACCCCGCGTACAGCCTTCCACGGCCAGAGAGAGGACAGTCCACCCTCTATCTCCGCAGCCAGCGCCACCCTCTCCCGATTCTTTCCCACCACCGACCACCATCTCGCGCCCCTATGTGTGCATATCTCTCTCTCTCTCTCTCTCTCGCGTTCTTCGCGTCCCGATTCTACTACCACCGCGGAGGTTTTCTGTTTCTCGGTGATGCGACGATAGGTTCGGGAAGGTAGCGGCGCATTTATTACGCGTTCGTTCGGTTTGCAGACTTTTGGGATCGGCGTGGATGCCGAGTACAGGCGGCGGAGGCTGTGACGGTGGCAGCGATGGTAGGTGGTGGTAGAAAATCGAGCAAGAGGAAAATCGACGATGACTCTGGAAGGACGAGAGAACAAGGAGACGACGAGGGTCGAAGAGGAAGCAGCGGTACTAGCAATGGTAGCAGCAGGGGAGGGTGGATGGATCGGCGTGACAGCCAGCCTGGTAGGGGAAGCTTCGTGGACTCTCGTCCCTCTCTTCCGCGTGCCGGCTGCCCTACGAGGAGGAAAAGGGCGTCGGTAGCCCTGCCAATCCTACGCCCTACGAGGCTCCCGTGGGGCGAGGTCACCGGAGGTCATACGATCGCGAGCCCTACGCTCGGCTTCCAATCGAACCAGGTGGAAATCGCTGTAGGGCCGAACCGTGCTAGCTCTCTGCCTATACCTTCCTTCCTCGTTCGCGCCGCGGAAGCCCGGGAAGGACGCGCAGGGTGTGTCTGACCAGACGATTCCCGGTTAAAAGTTCGTCGAGTGTCGGTTATCGGTCCCGATCGATCAGACCGCGATGACGCTATCGACGAACGCGTACCCCGATTCACGCGTAACGTACGTTTCCTTAGCCGTAACCGGCAGCTAACCACGCGAGTCACGCGAGCACGTGGTCCGCGTGTAACTCAGTCGCGACGCCACGCCGTAGTACGGCGAACCAGACGCGGTGGTTTTCCTCGGCCAGCCAGCGATTTTCCAACCAGACCCGGTGTCTCGTCTCTATCGAATTTTTACTAGGAAATTTCTCCATGGAACAAGGTGCATCAGACACACCCCGCGCGTACCAGACAAATCCCGTCCGCGTCTGTGTATATACGCGCGCCCGTACGCGTGTATAAGCCAACAGCAGGTAGAACGCGGCAGCGGCCAACTGTACGGGGTTTGTGGGGGTCGATCGATGCGGCGAGACGCCGGGCGTCGCACTTTCCGCCAACCATTCCACTCCAACCTACGCCCTCCCCTATCCGTCACTACTACCACCCTTCCTACCGCCACCACTACCGCGGTACCATTTTACCACCACTACCATCCACGCCGCCACCGCCGCCATCTCTAGCACCAGCAGCATCGGCACCACCACCGCCGCCACCACCGCCATCACCACCACCACCACCACCACCACCACCACCACCACCACTACCACGACGACGACGACGACAACGACGACGACGACGACGACGACGAAGAAGACGACGATGCCGCCGCCACCGCCGAGTCCAAGTAACGTCTCTCGCGCCGCGGCATCCCCTGCGGAAAAGCTGGCAGGGCTAAACCCCCGACTACGATTCCAACGACTCTCGTCCGACGCATAGTACGTCGACCCACAAGCCCAGCCACCTAGCCCCGTACTCCCTTCTCCCTGAGTCTGACGCGCTACCCCTACGCGCGCGACCCATACTCCTGCCTCGACTCGTCGGCATCAATGAAAATGACGTCACGGCAAAAAGCCCACGTTTAATTATCAACGCTACGCTTCGCGGTGTACACGCCGTCCCGCCGCGGTCGCCCGGGGAGGGCTTTCGAGTCGAGCGACTTTACGCCAACGGAGACGCTCGTAACTCACCAGCCGTTGTACTCTTTTTCCCTTCTTTTTTCACCTCTCTTTCCCTCTTTCTCTCTTTCCCATCGTCTCCTTCTCTTCCGCGACGTTCACCAGACGCGTAAATAGGGGACAATGAGGGGAAACGGACCATTCCGTTCTTTCCATCCGGATCGCTGGATTGAATCGCGGGAAATACCCGGAGACACGCCAAATCGATCGCCATCGTGTGCGTCTTAGTTTCCCCTTCTTCTTTTTCCTTTTTTTCTTCTTCCTTCCGCTTTTTCCCTTTTATTCCCGGTTCTCTGTCGTTTCCTCGGGAATTCCGCGTCGCAGGGGAACCGACACCGATTCGTGGCGACTGGTCGAAGCGCGAATCAGATCTCGGAGCAGACTGGGTTGCACGCGGCCGAGAGTAATCGCGTTAAAGAGGTCTAAGGTCGAAGGAAGGTTGACGGAAAGTCCTGACAGGAAGACGCGAGTTTAAGCGGCACGGGACGGCTGCGGTTGTTCAATGACAGAAAACCGACGAGATGCTCGTTCGACAACCGTGGAGTTGCAGCGCGTGCCGGACGACGCCTTTCAATCCCAGCGACCGCAACGTCGACGAGAGACCACACCACGGAAACCGCGGAGGCGTTCCTATAAACTCCGGTTCCTAATTCGGCTATCCTTTCGATTTCGTTCGTGGGCATGTCGTCATCCTCTCCTTGGTTCGCGCCAAGGTTGAGCGGACGCGACGCCCGTAAAAACCGTGCATACTCACTGAAGTCGATCAGCAGTCGGCCGTATCCCTGGCGCTGATAAGGCGGCAGCGTCAGAATGCAGGACACGTTGTAATTGAGGAAAGAGCTCTTTTCCTGGAACATAACGAGTGGGAATTTTTATGTATCCGTTCGAGTAGCCTCCACGCCGTGGTGCAAATCTAGCCACGATATCGCTCCTATCGCCGCGACGCTCGTCCCATTCCCACGACACCGATTTTAGCCTTATCGCCTTAAAAACTCTGCCCTAACGATTCCCCACCAAAAATTTTTCACCAAATTTTTCATCTGTGCGATCCTTAGAATAGACGACGTAAACAGTCGGACGACAGGCAGAGTCCCCGACTGTTTAGGATCTAAAAGTCTAAATACTTAAAGACTACCAATGGCGAGACGATCTGTCGAAGGCTGCCGAACCCTTCGAGCCGAAGTGCAATCAGTCCAATAAAGACCTTTGAAAAGGAAAGTCTTGGAAATATTGGTATACTCCATCATAATTTGGTCACATAGCGAAAATTTCTATCGACTCGTCGAATAATTTGTCTCCGAGCGAGAAGGTGACTGATCGCGTGAAATATCGGGTTTACCAGACGATATTTAGGATTCGCGCTACTTTGTAGCCAGACGAATTGCATCTCAAAGGTCGAAACACAGTGGTGTTTACGTGGAAAAGCAGAATAATATTTTCGTTGGTAGCACGGTTAGCACACTCGACACGCTCCGCCCAGGCGGCTGCGTGTGCAGCAGACACAATCAGCGAGTATTATGACGTTAACGCGACGAAAATGCGTCGCGACCTTCGTCACGTGAAAAACACAATGGGTTAACGATATTTTCGACCACGAGTCGTTCGAGGAAGCCGTAATATGTTTTATTAAACGATTCCTCGCGCAGTACGTCGCCATCGTCTGACCCCTCCGCGTGATCCGCGGGGCTGTTCGAATTGGGATTTTGGAAAGATGGACGGAAGGAACGCGTGGAAACGGGCCGGTGGAAATATCTCGTTTTAAATATAGACCCCGGTTGCCTCGCGAATGAACACGTCAATTTTTCGAGAACGTATTTTTACCGTGACACCGGAGTGGGCGTACACCTACGGTCAGCGTGCATTCTACGTGTATCGCGGCCAACGTCAGATTAGATAAATCTCGCGTCGAATTACATCTGTACGAAATCCATGGGAGTATCTTCCCCGTGGAACTCGAAATCCGAGTATCCGTATCACGTGGCCAAGTTTGCACCTTCGAATTCCGATTGTTTCCATTTTCTCTCCCCTTGTTTCCTCTCGATCCCGGTCCCGAGACGTTTTTCCCAGAGAGCAAATTTACCCGGTAAACAGCGGCATGCATATGGAGAGATGGAGAGCGCTCGAAAATCGGAGCTTTCGGGTAAATTTAATTTTCGTCCGAGTGCACGCGACGGAAAATAGAAGGAAATAAAACAAAACGAGGAAAGAGAGAAACAAAACGAGGAAAGAGAGAACAAAAATTGCAAATATTGCCCACGTCGCGACAATCGTAGCGCGGAATGCCTATTTCGATAGATAACACAGGGGGCCCGAAAGAGAGGAAAATTTGCTTGGATCCTGTCTCTGAGAAGGAAGAAGCAGTCTGGTTTCTCGATCCGGAATAGTGGATTACGTCTGTGGACGATAGAGTGAATTTTTCCAACAACCGTGGAGAAAGATGGAGAAAGATTAGGTTCGAAGATGGCGCTGGGTTCGAAGGTCGAGCGTATGCGTTGGAACGAAAATTGCTGCGTTCCGCGTCTGCGCGGTGGATCCTTTCGGGGCCATCGCGCGTAGAATCCGTCGTTAATCACTGTACGCCCCTCGGTCCCATTTCGTTGGCAGCGAACCCAGTACAACTCGAACACCCGGTATTTCCGGCCGTGGCAGCCGTGCTGTTGCTAACTGCCGAGTGGGGCAGCAACGGTTCGAAGGACACAACTCGAGAAGACTCGCCCATGCTTGTACGGACCCGTCTACGCGTGTGGGGCCATGTCTATGCGTCTGTGTTGGCCGTGGGATGGGGAAGGAGAGACACGTACAGGGGCGAGAGAGAAGGGGAGATAGAGACAGAGAGAGGGAGAAGGGAAGGTGAAAGCGTAGAAAAGAGAAGAAAGGTGTGGGCCCTATGGATGAGTATCGCGGATAGGCCATCTCGGATAGTCCGGCGAGCCATCTAGCGGACCAATTGCTAAAAGCCGAAGACGAAATATGGTCAGAACCACGCCACGCTGCTCGGATGAACTTTTACAGAGACGGGAGCGCGGGGCGGTGTATCGGTGGCGTGCGAGCGTGGAGAGGGACACGAAGAAAAAGGAAGAGAAAGAGAAGCGCGAGCGTGGAGAGAAGGAGAGGAGAAGAGTAGAATCTGGGCCCCGCGACGTCCTTGGGCCAGTAGTCTCTGCTCCACTCAGGGACGTCTTCGAGTCCCCACCGTGCGAGTTCCACGCAAGAAAGCCCCTTACACATCGCTTTTCCTCCTTTTTCCCTATTTTTCCCTACGCGTCTACCGTCACCCGAAGTGGAGGCTGCCGACGACGACGACGACGACGACGACGACGACGACGACGATGACGTCGAAGAAACGATTCGACAAAATCGATCGGCCACGACTAGACTGCTCGAGTCACATCGTCGCGAAACGAACCGTGTTTTTTTTCCAGTCCCTCTGTTTAAGAAGGAAAAATCTTGTCGACCAACGGTCTATCCGAGTCCGCCCAATTCGCCTCTCTTCCACCGGGAATCCCGAAAACTCGAAGCGCATCGAGTCCCACCGCGTGGAGACGAATCCGGCACAGCTTCTTTTATAGATATAGCCTTCCGGAGAATCGATACCGGCCTCTCTTCCCGTCTCCTTTCATCCACGAAACGGGGCAACGTGGCGAGTAGTACCGTAGTAACGATCGCAACCGGTGACTTTGACCGTACGAAAAATCAATCGTCCCTGTATTCATCGCGCGAAAAATAATGGACGAAAATCCCGTCGTCGAATGAAACCTAACCTATTCCACAGATGACTTAACGCGTATAATCGCGTAAAACAGCCAAAAGGGCAGGATCACTCGGATAAATGGCGGACATCGAACGGAGACGCTCGCTATAAATATTTCGATATCTCGTTGCGATGCAGCCCGAAGCGATTCCCGATCGAATCTTCGCGTCGTTCCTTGCCTCTTCCTCTCCCCGCGATTGCCCACGGTTGCTCGCGGGTCGGGTGTGACGAACAAAGCGACGAATGGGCGCGAATCGCGTCGCCGATAAGCTTCTCTCGTACGTACGTATACGCGTCGGTTGGAGAGAACGATCACGCCACCGGTCGTTATCGATCGCGGCCGCGCGAAGGAGTTCCGTCGTCGACGTTGCGTCGATCTCGTAAAAGGCTTTCGATCGGTCAGTATCCTTTTCTGCGTATCGTCGCGCCATAAAGTGCGGGCACACGTGCGACGATAGAGGCATCGGAACGCGACCGACCGACCGTACGTTCTATCTACGTTCTAGGTACGTTCTACGTACGTTCTACGTACATTCTACGTACGTTCTATCTCGCCTCGTTTCTCGATCGCTCATAAACACGTCGCGAGACGTCGCTGCGCGCGAGGTGTGCGTAGGTGAACGAACGTCTAGGTGGCGCGCGGTAACGAGACCCGGCTAATAATCCTCTCTTTTCCTTTCTCCCGGCGAACTTGTCGCCACGGACGATCGTTCACTGTTGCTCCGATTTTTATTGCACGGAATATCGGAATCGACAAGTATTCCGTCGATATCGTACGATCACGATGGTTTTCGAGTCGTAGAAAACCGTTGCATAAGACAAGAAGGATAGAGAAATGTACGCTCGCTAGGTTAGGTTAGCTCGTTGTCATTTCCCTCGCGAATATTCGAGTGATACACAGTCGGACGCGGTGTGAACGTCGCTTAAAGGTTATACAGCTCCTCGCGACGGTCACTTCTATATTTAGATGCACCGAGTTTCCTCCTCCACTTTCTTTATACCGAACAAAGCGTTCCTCTTAACATACGGGGTGTGCGCGAAGTTCCGTGTGCTCGGCGTGATCGGAACGCGGGAGAATCGACTGCTTTCACGCGCAACTTCGCCGCTAATGGAATGGAAAATTTTCACCAATTCCCGGGGACATGATGTACCAACCGTCGAACGAGATTCCGTTACCGTGCTTTTCTATCGTGCTCGCAACGATTACGAGATTTATTTGTTTGAATTTTCGTTTAGGACCCTGGAAGTTTGCCGGTCGAACGCGTTCCGATGAGGCCTGTCTCCAGGGACGTGAATTTATCAATGGCAGGTACACTCGGAAAACCAGAGGGTCTAACGGTCCTACGGATTATCCCCGGACGCCATCGCGAACCTCTAAATCCAAAGAGAAATCGTCACGACTACCCGATAGGTCTCAGACTGGTCGTCCCCTGTGTGCGAAAAATTTTGCGGACTTATTAATTACCCGTCCCTTCGGCTCCCTTGGTTCCTTTCGAGCGAACACCGCTTTCCTTTTGGCCCGAACCCAAAGCGCGTTCGCCCGTTCGCTCCGGCCCCCTTGTAGATTTCCTGCGCATATACCTCAACGCTGAACGGTAAATCAATCCAACGGACAATCCTTCGTCCGACCAACGTCTATCCGACCAGAAATTAAAACTTTTCACGGACTGGAGTAACGATCGTGGTCGCGGTCAAGTGTGCAAGAACTTTTGTCTCCTATGTCCGAACGGAACGATCACTCTCGACTATAACGACGAAGAACTTGCATCGGACTATGGATTCCGAGTTTCCTCGGCTGTTCCTAACTTCACGCTCGTGGAGCCAAGATGGCCGTGTCGAATTTCGAAATGGACGTCGCCGGGACAATGGGCTTAGGCACGATCACGGAGCACCGAGGAAAATGAAAGCTCCGGACTGGATATCCGATCAATGCCACGGATGATAATTTCGTGAAGACTCGTCTTCACGTTCCCGACATGTGCTCGCTTTAGCCTACTCGCGAGCGGACGCTATACGAGGGACAGCGAGTGCGTCGGAGGAACGTGGAGCATACAGGGGCTTTCCCGTGTCGAGAAATGTATTTTCGACGCCGGGGTT